TCACTCTGCTCACTGTCCCTTGGATATGATTTAATGGTTTGGCCACAACTAACTGCAAGGAGGGCTGATAAACTGAGTCTAGCTGTGGGCCCAGGAAAAAGAAAGGAAAACAAATATTTCAGAGAGCAGCAAACAGTTTAAGCTAAAATACACTTATTTTTGTCCTAGCCAGTTTGGCTCAGGGGATAGAACATTGGCCTGCAGTCTGGGTCTTGGGTTCGATTCTGGTCAAGGACATTTGCCCAATAGGGGGGTGCAGGAAGCAGCCAATCAATGATTCTCATCATTGATGTTTCTATCTCTCTCTACCTCTCCCTTCCTCTCTGAAATCAATAAAACTATATCTTTAAAATAAATAAATAAAATACACTTATTTTTCTTTATATTTTTTTTGAATTGGAAGCATTCAATGTTACTTGGAGAACAATATAATAAGTCACATTGGCATTCGAAGAAAGGGAAGGGATGAAGCCAATGAAAGTTGGTCAGGAGGATTCCAGGACCTTTTGCATCATGCTTTTCACAACCCATGTAACTCAAATCAAGTCCACTTCCTAGTCAGTGGATATGGGACTTATATAAAGGTTGTGTCCTTAAGTGAAAGATTAAGATTAAATTGAAGTGGAAACTTGGCACCAAACTACACTGTTCAGTGGCCTGAGGAACTGAAATTAATTTGAAGCAACTATTACTCATGCTGATTGTGTGTCACTTGGAAAGGGTGATGCTTATAGTGTCAGCAAAGCATCCATTGCATTCATTTTCCCTTCCCTCCACGGGCAAGTCCTCCTAGTTCTTTGAGGTAACAGGCAACTGGCTACTCCATCAAGCACTTATTGAATGTCTATTCTGGGGCTTGATGCTGTCTGGTCCTCACTTTCCCTGCAGAAAAGGCAGCCCAGAGCTCCACTTTCCTGTGTCCTTTAGGGCGGGGGTGTGGCCATAAGAAGTTGGAGGTGATTATAGTTCTGTCGGTGAATCATATTTTCCCATTTGCTTCCATTAGAATGTTAGAGATGCTTTTCTTGGAGGTGGAGGGTGGTGAGTCTTGCCTTAAAATATATATAAAAAATTACATTTTAGAATGCAGCAAATTTTAATCTCTCCAGAGTTAAAAGGGAGGGAAGCTGAAGCTGATTTTTCTCCTAACATACAAAAAAAAAAAAAATTCTCTCCTGAAACTTAAAAGAGAAAAAAAAACTCAGAAATTGCATTCTCCAGAGATCAGAACACTTCTAACAATCTCCTTTAGTTTGTGCAAGCCAGTGCCCACAGGAAAGATTGGATTTCCTCGAATTGCCTATGTGTTGCTCTCTCCTCTGATCCTCTCCTTGGCATCATAAATATTCCTTTTCAATCCCCTAAATATTTGCTGTTTCCTTTGGGAGATATTTGAAAGGCAATCCCTATTGCCATTTATTTTATTTAGTTTAAGTTCTATCTTTGAGTTCTCAATGAGTTAATGCGCCATTTAAAGAAATACAGTTCTTTCCTCTGGTTATTGAAGGTTGAAGTTTCTTCATTGTAAACGGATGTATTTGATTAATTTTATAATTTGGAATCTTTGTCAGTCTGGATTCCAAAAGGAGGAGTTCCTTTAAGCTCACTGCAACTACATTTGCTTTTGAAGGAGCCCTTTCTTTTGCAGTGAATAAAGTGTCTCTTATTAAACAGAATAGGAAAGAATGTTTGGCAGGACTCGACTCCCAATGGGTGAAACATCACAGGAAATGGAGAAATTGTTTCTTTTTGGCCTTGTGGGAAAATTTTGCTGGTGAAATTTAGTATTAAGGTTTTAAGACTACTGCTGAAATCCATCAAGAAAGAGCTGTCAGACCAGGGTGGGGGTGGGCACAGGTACCAATGTGACGCTGATAATCTGGTCTTACATTTTCCAGGTACTCTGAGATACAGGCAAGAAGATTGTATTCTATCTTACATAATAATTGTGTTACTGTTCAGGAGAATTTAGCAATCTTTTAGCAATTTAGGAATAAGTTTGTTAATCTCAGCTAGATGGATGCCCTTTCCTTTGTCACTGCAAAACAGGGTGTTTTATGGACCCAAACTAGAAGTGTTTGTGTCCCAAGTTCAGCATGTAGCTTCTGCCCTCCCATGAAACCATGGGTTCTTGATCTTGGGCAAATCTACTTTGGGCATCAGATATGTGTTCTGAGGTTTGAACACCAGTCCCCATTTATACACCTCTTTTGGGATTTGTGTCCCACACCTATGCTGTCAGTTTAACCCCTGAAACCCTCATTGGAGACAGTGGGAGCAGTATTACCATATGTCTCATTGTTCAAACCCCTAACTTTCATTATTCATTTCCAACACTCCCTTCATATTGCAATCATTCATCATGTCCTGTTAATCTCCCTAAATATGCCTGACAGTCAGAACCTGGTTCATGCCACAGTTCTCTTGTGTGCCTTGATTTCTCTAGAAGCTTCCTTACCAGTCTTTGGCCCTCAGTTTTCCCTCTCATAATCCTTTTTGCGCCCTTAGCCAAAAATGACTTTTCTAAAACTAATCTTAATTATAATATGTTACTGCCTAGCCAAAGATTTTTTTTTGAGGGGGTGGGTGTAGGGGGACTACTTATAAAATTTAACCTCTTGCTTGGCCCTTATTTTGTTTCTCAGTTTTCTTTACTTTCTAGCCCCATCAGTCCCTTGACACAGGCAGGACTGCCCATGCTGGACGTGACTGGACTCCTTATACCGACAATGGCCCCTCTGCTTTCCCCCATTCAGGACTAATTCTAACCTGTTGTCCAGAAGCCAAAATCATGTTTCTCTCTTAACAGAATATGCACCCCTGCCCCAATTGGATAGTTATTCCTCCTGAGTTTCATATACCCTCGACATACTTCCAGAGTAGCTGATCTTTGTAAGCTCCTAGGGGGAAAACCACACAGCCTGTTTCTGTTGAATAAATAAATGAGAATTAATGACTACTTATAGTGCTTTTTATATATAAAATTGAATCATTATTATAGTGTTGTAATTTTGGCTATTTTTAGAAAGGTAGCTATGAATGAAAAAAAGTCTAAACCCTGGATTTGGTATCAGAAGGCTGGGTCACTATGAGCTGTGACCTTTGCTAAATCTATCAGCCTCTCTTAGTCTCAATTCCTTGTCAGTGAACAGGGCATAATATGTTAAAGAAAGGGCTTGTCTGGGGTGTATGTGTGTGGGCGCTTGGTGAGTTATAATGACTACACAAGTGTTATCTGCCTTATTCTGGTCCTTTCCATAGCTTCAGTCCTTACTGCACCCATGATAGGCACCAGCACAGGAGACAAAGTGTGAATGGTTTCATGTGGTACAGGTCAGGTGTGAGTATTTGCCAGGTCTCTGTTCAGTTAGGTGGACACATACCAATGTCAAGTACAAAAGTATGAAATAGTTCCCTTAGCTTTCCCCTTGGAAGTATAGTCCTACCTTCTCATATATTGTTGGTAACACTAAGACCTAGATGTAGTGGAAAAGCAATTTGATGACATGTGTTGAGAATATAGTCACCCCTTTGACCCAATAATTCCATTTTCTAAGATTTACCTTGAAGGAATGATTTTTGAAAATGGAGATGGGAACATCTAAAATGGGTAAAGATGTTCCTTGCAGTTGTGTTTATTAGGTAATGATAAAAAATAATTCAATCTATAAATCAGCGGGGGACCACTATGCCATTGTCCTTCAGTGGGTATTCTGTAAGACAGAAATATGGTTTTGATAAAATGCTCAGGTGAAAAAAGCAGTCTTAAAAATTCAACCTATGGTTTAATGAAAGCTGTGTAAATCAAACAAATATAGGAAACAAAAAGGAACCAGGAGGAAAATACACCCAGATTTGATAGTGATTCTTTGTGCTTAAGAAATCCACATGCTCAGCCCTGCCTCCCTAGACCAAGGACCCTGTGAATGAGGCCCACTGTCCTCTGTGCAGAGTCTTTATTTGGCATTGGATGGAGGCCAGACCTTTATCCTGTCTTCCAAAACCTGGAAGAGAGCATTCAGAGGAATATCAATCAGAAAATTGGCTTAGAGTTTAGAGAGCTGAAGCTCTGAAATACCAGGAAAGGAAGGGCTAGATATACTTGAAAAAAAAAATAGTAATCATGACACAACTTTTTGAGTGTGCAAAGGGTTTTACATACATTGATTCATTTAAATTGGCTCTTCTTCTACATAGCTCTTTATCTTAATCCCTATAAAAAGTCACCACAGATCTAAACAGCTGAGTAACACGGTTACTCACCTGGGTTCCATTCTTTTATTGGCCTTGTATCCAGGGATTTCTGCTGTGCAGAATTCACTTTGAACCCAGTGGGAATTACCTAGAAGAGAACAGTCAAGCCCAGGAAATAAACAGACATTTCATTGTAGTTTTATTCATTGGAGGACCTGCAAACATTTGGCAGACCTCTCCTTTCACGTCCAATGGAAACTTGGGTTGTAAGAGACACGGATCTGCTGCGAGCTACCCATTGTCACATAGCAAGTTAGGCATGAAATCCTTATAGAATTGATTCCCTTTTTTTCCACTTGAATCCCCATCCAGCCCAAGTGTCTGTTCTCCCATGGGATTTCATGAAATTTTAGCTGTCTTAGCTCTAGAAAAGATCTGCTTTCTCTTCTTTTTTTTCACCCCCCACACAGCTGAGGTTCAGAACTTTCATGCATTTCTCCAGTGCATTATGTATTTCACCCAGCAACTTTTTCCATACTTTGGGAAAAAACTGCTTTTAACCCTGGGTTTTGGTCCCTTCTCTCAAAGCTTGGTTGCTGTTCCTTATCTGACTTGAACTTTCATGTTCTCAGGATGAGAAATAGACCTTTACACAAAAATCTGAGGGTTGGAAGTTTGAGAGGAAGCTTAGGTCCTCAATGGAGCTTTGAGAGGGCGTTGGAGTTATTTCACTAAGGACAGTGCTGAACACCTCTGGTTTACACTTCTTTTTCGAAGTTTATTTTATGTTCTGTTGTGGTTTTCAGATTTCTCATGGTTTGGATTTGGGAATGTAAAATCAAGACAAGGTGTTGGTAAGTAGTCACTCCTTCTTTGGATAAATAATGAGCTTGTGTTTAATTCGGATGAAACTATTGAGCCTCTTCATACTTGTTGGCATTTGATTCATTTTTTCATGTTCCTGGTTTTTGACTTGCTGAAGAAGGAGGCCTAGAATTATTTATTTATTTATTTATTTATTTATTTATTTATTTATAGAAAAGGCATTACTTTTGCTAATTGAGTTCAGTAAATAATTCTTTATTCTTGAAGTTTACTTGCTTTTAACCTCTGGGGATGTGGCAGCTGTCATCCAGTTCTAGGTTGCTGATGCATTTCTAAGAAGATTAAAGAAATAAAATACCACTGGACTGCAGCTCCATGCCCAGCAAAGCTGGCTGAATATTCATGCCTGGAAAGCATGGGTCTTAATTTTCTTTCATTGGCCACGATGTAATAAATTTCTGCATTGGTAAATCAGTTGTTTGTTTGTGACCATTTCTCTTTCAAAACAAGGCTAACATCCAGACACTATGATTTGTGCTTGATTGCCTTCGATTCCTTGCAATTGTGTTGACAATTGAAAAGCAGAGCTTATAGCTACCAAATGAGTGCAGATAATGTATCTCATCGCTAGGATTGAAATCAGGTGTGATCTCCCGGGACCTCCAATTTGTGTAGTATTTTCTATTTGTTCAGAGACAATGAAGAGGAATTGCTGAGAAGGAATGAAAAGACAGACTTCCTTTCATTTTGCATATGCATTTCCAAGAGTTAGCCATCTTGAGCATCTGTTGGTTAATATTTATTCTGGCTGCAAGGTTGGCTCTAGGTAAAATTGCACAGTATACCAGTGTCATGGAGCCTTCCAGTTGTGAGCCCTCCCTGTTCATATGAGGAATCCTGTTCATTTCCCTTTTTGAACTTGATATCAGTCGGTCTGCCCTTAACTAGCCCCATAAATTCCAAGGGAAGGGCTCTTAACCAGCAAAGGAAAAGTGGAGATGTGGTCAAGTTGGAAATTAAGCACAACCACCTCAGGATTTGTTGGCGATGCCCCAGGACACTTTTCAGATACAACTGATCATAGGCATTTTAGAAAACCAGAGAGTCCTGGGCAGTGTTGCAGGTGACCTGTTTGATGGTGTGTGTGTGTGTGTGTGTGTGTGTGTGTGTGTGTGTGTGTGGTGTGTGTGTGTGTGTGTGTGTGTGTGTGTGTGTGTGTGTGTGTGTGTGGTGTGTGTGTGTGTGTGTGTGTGTGTGTGTGTGTGTGTGGCAGGACAGGAGGAGTCGGATGATAAGCTCTCCCATAACAGTGCTGTGGGATGGGATCTTCCTTCCATAAATAGCAAATCCCTTTAACACTTAAACATTTTTCAGGCCAGTTCACCCTGCAGGAAGGTGCTGGTTCCTCAAAAGCTCCAATAACAGGATTTTACCCGTTTAGGCCACAGCAGAAAGAATTCTTCAGAATTGTTCTTTCAGCTATAGTTCATTCGAGGCGCTGCTGCTTTAAAATGTTGGTCTTGTTATTAGTCAGGGATGGTGCGGCCAATAGGTCAGGAGACAATGGCTATTGGTACAAAGATAATTCATTATTCACAGTTCCTCAGAGAAGAAGGCACACCATGTGGTAGGGGGACCTCAGGGAGAAGCACCTGAGTCAATCAGGGGGCAGAAGGAATGAGGGGAAAACATGAACAAAGAACCTTTATTGTAGTTTCCTCGGGGAAAACTGTAAATCCAACAAATATAGGAAACAAAAAGGAATCAGGAGGAAACTGGGCGAGGCAGGGGTAGCAGGTTTAGGATTGGATGGTTTGAAGCGCTTCAGTGGGTTCTGGGGTGTAGGAACTGACCCTAGTCGTCTGATACCTGGCTCTGAGGTAATGGGACACATGGATAATGGCCTGGAGTATGATAACATGGAAAGGGATGTAGTTGGGGAGTAGATTACGGATTAGTGCGTTTGTATATGACAGGTTCACTCAGAGGCAAATTCCTTACTACCTGAGGATGACACAGGACAGTTCCTCAGTGTCATCAAGCCCAAGATTGAAGCATGAGAATACAGAAAACATAAGACATGCTTATACAGTTGCTCAAGAACAGTGATCTCTCCCCTTGCCCTGAAGGCATTGTTGGTCCTTCCCCAGATGACCTTCGTGGATTCTTATCTCAAGAAAATAAGTCTAAGTTAGGCTTAGAGAAGCCTGTAAAGTCATAGATGTAGAGACCTTTCCCAGAAGCTCTGATGAAAGACAAAATGGCTCTTTGAACTTGATACTAAAAGAAAAATAGGCTAAAAATGTTTCCAGGCATAAGTTATATTTGTCAGCTCAATAATTAGAACTCTCTACCCCAAACTCAGCAAATTGCACACACCCAGCAATTTAAAACTTTTAATTAATTTTAGAAGACATTTTCTCAAGTCCTCATATGAATTTCTTATAGCACTGTGATGCGCTCCTGACTCTTCTGTCTTTTCATTGTATTTCCCCAAGCACGTGAAGACACACACAATGACACATCGTGTGACATGCACAGACAGGCGGCTGTCAAATTATATAGACATTCATTGTCCCCGTTGAGAGCATTTCTCCCCTTCCCAACTTTGCTGAGCTCTATTAGATCAAAATGTTCCTAGAAAAATGGGCTGAATTCCTGCTGCCTTGCCAGCCACATCAATCTTCCAGACTCTGGAACATCAACAACAAAGAACACAGCACTGGAATTAATATTCCAATTGATAAATGGTTGAGGTTTGTATACCCAGTCAGATTTGTCAACAGCGGCCTCCTGGCAAAGTGAAAAAGCTTTTTGAAAAATTACCTCTGGTACTTTATATCCTCCATATGCTTAAAAATCCACCACTGTCACCATCACCCTGCCCCCCAAAGAAAGACCATTTTCTTTCGATTTGTTACTTCAGTGTCTGGGGTTTTTACTCAGAGAGGCCAGGGAAGGAAAGAGTGTCCTTTGGTGGAGGAAGAGATGCAAAGAGCAAACCTCTGGGTTGAGCTCTTTAACTTAGAGCTCCACTCTGTCCATGGCAGATGATCCAGAGCTTGGATTCCTGGAGGAATCTCAACATTGTCTTCCAGGTATCAATCTCCTCCGAAATGATGAGATCCTGTGGGACTATTGGTAGTCTGACTTGGGCCACAAGAATCAGTGACAAAGGCAACTAGGATCAGAAGTTTCTACTCCTTGCAGGGGCTCCAGAAGCAAATATCACTGGCCTTCTGACAGCATATGGAGTACTTGAATATGACAATTCCTGTATTTCTGAGGGTAAATGGGCAGCCTGGAATCTGTTGAGAAATGTGTGACCCTGCATGCTCAGGGAGCTCAGGCAGTAGACTAGTTGGGTCACCCCAAAGAGGGGACAGCTGCACCAGGAACAGAGTGAGGGAGCCAGTAGGGACACAAGTCGGAAACCTTAGCACAACACATTTCTATTTTCCATCTCTGGATTTAAACTCTGGGTGGTCTAGGTCTGCTAGAAAGAAAATAGTGAAACAGAGACAGTTAAGGATATTAGAAAGAACTTGTCTTTATTCTTGGCAGAATTTCTGCACTTTGCTAACGCTGGTGAGCTAGGCACAAGAGGAGTGCAACTGGGGAGATTGCCCTTTCTCTGAGAGTTCTGTGGCTTCTAAATTGGCTGTGTGAGGACTTGTTTGCAGAATTAAGCCAGAGTGTATTATTAAAGGCGTCTCAAATGAACATCCCCTTGAGAGAATGCTTTAAAAAATTACCTATAATAGCAGTTGGCTGCCTCCTGCATAGTTTGTTTAAGATTCAGCTAGCTGGGGAATGTCCAATTGTTATCACTACATATTGTGATAATCCCCATACAAAGGGGAAAATGGATCTTGAATCGGGAGATGGATTACAACGATATTTCAGAGAGGATTTAAAAATGTATGATCCAACAGTTTTTGTTTTTAGAATTGTGGTGCTTTTTCAGTCGTCAAGTTTGAGGGAAGAGGTAAAGAATGGATGGAGATGCTGAAACATGCATCCTGGAGGTTGGGTGAATATACATTCTCTTGCTATGAAAGTAGTGATTCGGACTTCCCTTTCCTTAGTATGCATTTGCCTTGACTGCCTTCCCTTTGTCTTTCTTCATATCCTTTCCTTCCTATCTTCTTCCTGGCTTATGCTAGTAGTCCTGGCCAGTGGGTGCTTTCTGTGGGACCCTGAATCCAGTTAGTTTGCTGCAAAAACACCTCATAAATATATTAGAGGCCTGGTGCACAGATTCATGCACTGGTGGGGTCTCTTGACCTGGCCTGCACCCTCTTACAATCCAGGACCCCTTGGGGGATGTCTGAGAGTTAGTTTTGGCTCAATCCCTGCAGACCAGGCCTAGGGGACCCTTCCCCAGCCCCATGCATAAATCCATCCACTGGGCATCTAGTATGCATATAAGATCTTTGGTTAATCTCTTCCTGCCCTCCCTCCTCCCGCCTTCTCTCTGAGATTCATTGGTCTGTTCCATGTTTTCGTGCCTATAGTTTTTGCTCCTGTGTTGAACATCTACTCCTTGGTGGTCAGCGCACGTCATAGCTACTGGCCAATCAGCCAGTTGTCCAGTCGCTTAGACTTTATATATATATATATATTGGGGCTTTATCTACTTTTCATGTATGGATGTCTACTATGAGCCACTGATATCTTAATTGTTTTGAAGCTTTCATATAGACCTTTATCTTTGTGAATCTATTTTTGTTTGAATCTAAACACTATGGGTTTAATAGTCAATGGATTAATGTATTAGATAAGATACAGTAGACTGTATTTATGGACATATACGTTGTGAGACTGGGCTAGAAAGTTAAAGTGTCATATGAAAAAATGTTATGGTTATTGCTTTAGTATAAAAACATCCATGGGATGACTCTATAAATAAATAATATTATGACTAAAGGCAGGGAGCCATTATTTTGTGGGCAAACATGATGCAGCTTTAGACAGAACATACAGAGAGAGGAACAAAGTAACAGGACAGTTCAATGTAATTCTAGTCCACAAGTTGTGACTTTATTTAGTAAAACCTATAAGCAATTCATACTTCTGACACACATTTAAATTTACAGCGCATGTTCATATCAGTAGTCCCATAAAATAGCAAGCATCATTTTGCACATGTTACCAAATGTAAGTGGTTGCAGAGGTACAAAAAAGTAAGTAACTTGTCCAAAGAGTGGAGAAAGGAACTCAGATCTTTGAGCTCCTCGTACATATTTCGGTACACTGTGAAACAAGGATCTTAAATTGATGCTGAGGGTTTCAGTGAGCCAGTGTTCTAAAGATGGATGTTTAGAGAACAGAGGAAAGCTGCATATTAAATTACAGAAGAAGGAAGTCCAGAAATCTGAACACTCATATGTTGCTGGTGGGAATATAAAATAGTGCAGCCACTTTGGAAAAAACAGTTTGGCAGTTCCTCAAAAAGTTAAACAGAGAGCCACCATATGACCCAGCAAGTCCCCCTAAGAGAAATGAAAATGTATGTCTATACAAATCTTATATATGAATGCTCATAGCAGCATTATTCACAATAGCCTCAAAGTTAAAACAACCCTAAGTGTCTGTCTATTGGTGAATGGAATAACAAAATGTGACATATCCATACAATAAAATATTATTTGGCAACCAAAAAGGAATATAATAATGGCACATGCTACAAGTGAATGAACTTTAAAAACATTATGCTAAGTAAAAAGAGAATGTGTCCTAAAAGATCACACATTATGATTTCATTTACATGAAATTTTCAGGTAAGTTCACAGAGATAGAAAGTAAGTTTATGGATGTCTGGGGCTGGAAGTGGAGCGAATGGGGAATGACAGCTATTTGGAATGATGAAAATGTCCTAAAATTAGATTGTAGTGGTAGTTGCAACACTCTTTGAATATATTAAAATCTACTGAAGTGTACATTTTAAATGGGTGAATTTTATGTATGTGAGTTACCCCTCACAAAAGCATTAAAAATTACAAGAGAATGTGTATTTTTTCCAACTCCAGGCCCGGCTTCAGTCATCAGCAATGATGATGATTCTGCTAGCCCACTCCACCACATCTCCAATGGGAGTAACACTCCATCATCTTCAGAGGGCGGCCCTGATGCTGTCATTATCGGAATGACCAAGATCCCTGTTATTGAAAATCCCCAGTACTTTGGCATCACCAACAGTCAGCTCAAGCCAGACACATGTAAGTACAGCTGTTTATACTTACTGGCCCATTTGTTGCATAGCTGTATCAATAAGCATGTTTATCAGAATTCTTGACAAGGATGGCTTGGGGGAGGAAGGCTGTGAAATGTCTGAGTATTCTTGGGGCTTTGGGACCACAGATTAGAGTTTTTAGTTTGTTTCTTATGGAATTCTCAGGGTGTGTCTTCTGCTGGGCTTGAAAATATGGAAAATTTCTGGCTTCTCTTGGGATCCATTTTCAAAAACCATTTATCAAAATGAAGTTGGAATGAAGGCATGCTTATCTTGAAAAAGAGAAATAAGCCAGAAGTATCATTAGAATGAACATATATCAGGCAATTGATAGGATTTAAATTTGGTTTATTGAAAATCATTAAAATATACCTTATAGGTCATCATGAGGAGCTATGTTGCACACAGGTGGTATCAATTCTGGTAGTTCTATATTATTTGTTTAGTCTTAGTTCTCTGCATGAAGCCTCTTGTGATGTCATGATGGCAAAGAGACATGTTAAATACTTTGACATATTTTTTAGAACCAAATGAACCCAAAAGCCTCTATTGAAAGCTTACAAGGTTTCTTTTTTCCTGAGACTCTTACTCTATTTTTTGAGACATTGCCCAAATATAAAAAATGGAGCACAGACTTAAGGACAGCAAAGAATAAAATCACAAGGAACAAACAGGTCTTATGCCATTGGAACTCCAGACCTTCCCTTACACATGAATAAGGGGATATGAAGGTAGAATATTAAGTGGCCCAGGTTCCAGGAGTTCCCTGGCACTGAATAATTGGTATATTCTATTTGAATGTTCTCACCCCACCTTACATGTTTTAATCCTGAGAGATAAGGTGGGACTCTTTGAAGGTTAGTATTTACACTGAGACCATCATAGAATAAGGAGGCTTAACAATGAGTATCAGATCTGTTCACATATGGGAAACAACTATTATTGCCTCCCATTTACTCAAATTTATCCCAAGGTACGTTTAACAGTGGATTTGAGTTTAATTGTTAAGAAGAACAGAATTATAAGCTTGTAAATACATGAAATTGGATCTCACCATAGATTTCAGTTGAATATATAATATGACAAGATAAATGTAATTGCAGATGTGAAGAATATTGAGCTTCTTGAAATAAAAGGTATTAAGTTAAATCAAGGTATTTCTAATTCTAACATTGTCATTATGGTATGAACAAGATGTGTGGAGGTATTGCTTAAAAATGTGCATTTTTTTTTTGTTCAGATAATTATCCTCCTAAAAGTCCTTGAAACACTCTGCATGCATTGCAGTCAAATGTTGACTAAGGCAAAGCAGGATATTATGGTGGCAGAATGTGTCATCATTTTGATTGTTTTCCCTAGGAACAGAGTACTTTGACAGTCCTGTCACCATCAATATCAGGCTGTATAATATACTTCAGTTAGCCTAAGGCTGTATTATAATTGAGGTTGACTAAAATCAACCTGTTCCAAAAGTTTGCTCTCCTTTTGTGGATAGTGGAAAAATGAAATAGATCAAGCTGAATAATCAAGTATTTAGCATCAGCTCAATAAGCCCAATAAGAGAAAATTAACAAATGAGCAAGCAAAGAAATAAACAAACGGACTAATGAGATCTTATAGAAGAAAGTAGACTAGATGGCTGCTGGGTCTATAGTTCTCTCTAGAAGTGCTTTCTTATCCTAGAAATCCACAAGAAAGTTTCCAAAGGTCATTTCTTTAACCTAGAGTCCATGGAGATTTTTGCAAAGGTTTTGAGCTAGACTTTTTATTATTTTGGAGGAGTCTTGGTTTTATGGTTTAGCCACTGTACACCACTTGCATTTAGAAGAGAGTTGAGGAAACCCACAGTCTCCTGTTAGCTTCTGTCCTCTACCAGTGGGATCCAGACCATTGATTCTCAATTTGATGGTTCATTCTTTGGGAAATCTTTCCAGACCCTTCACCCAGCCATCCTTATTCAGCTCAGTATTTCCTGTCACTCAGAACTTTTTTTCCCTCTAGGCTTCAAGCCATACACTATTTCATGATTTGAAGAACACTTAAAATCATACATCTTCTATGAATCATTTTTCAAAGAAATGGGAATGAAGAAGCAATTTACTTCTCTCCTTATCTTCAACCTTTTTAAAAAGTCACTCTTTACCCCATATTTTTTTTAGCTTTATCTTCAATGTTTCTGTTACATTTTGTTAAGAGTATAACCACTCTCATGTATGTGTTTCTGTAGTCTTATTTATATTAGATTGTAAGCTCCTCAAGAGCAGAAACAATATCTTGAATTATTCCTTCATATCATGGGACATGATACAATTTTGATGTTGGCCAAATGTTGACCAGATGTGGATATATATTACTGAAATATTATTTACTAACAGACTTGTAACAAGTAAAGATGACCCATAGCCTTTTCATTGGTTCTATTCCTATTACACTTGCCTACCTAATAGTTTACTTGTTAGACATGTTTTTAATAATATATTATCCAAGTTAAGCAGATTTAGATAACAATTTTAGCAGGAATAATCTTTTAACAAAAAAAAAAAAAAAAACATGATTTTTGAACATCCTAATAGCAGTCATCCAGAAATTGAAATATTTTTAAATGCATAAATCTGCTATACAGAGCGATCTGTTACTCTAGGCCCATACAATTTTGGGAGATTAGCATTCAATTATGTGATTCCCATAGAACATTTTTATACCTAACTTGTAAAAACAAACAAAAAAACAAAAAACTTTAAAGAAGGGATCTTACAAGAAGTTTGTTAGGTTACATCTGAAAAACAAATTTACTATCATCTCAGATAAAGTTAAGAAGTTTTCCCATGTGCTTAAAGCAAAATGTCACATGGATGGTAAACCACCAACCTCAGGACCTATTAGAGTCTTGGGCCTTAAGTCAGCATATTTACTTCTCTTTCCTAAATCTACCTGCTACCTAAAGATCTTGGCTTTCAAATACACGTGTGATCTTACAAAGAAAGAGTGGTCCCAATCTTACTTTACTGGATTGTAATAATCCAATGTAAAAGGTGAATTTCAATTCATTAAATATATATTAGCTATCAGTAATACTTCTACAATGCCAGGAACTGAAGATTTGGTGGTAATAATGAAATGTTCCCTGCCTTCAGCGAATCTTGTTAAGGAGGCCTATGGTTAAACATTTCATCATATAATTACAATGCACTATAATAGAATAACTTAGAGCTAGGGTCCTAAACTCCAATTACCTACAAGATTATGCAGGTCAATATGAGAAACAAGCAAGATCAGAAAGACGATATGGCACTGTGAAGGCTGTGCTTAAACATGACCTGATATTACCAGATGCTCAAATTTTCCAGTGAGAACAGGCACTTATTAAAATATTTTATTGTGAATTTCCCTAAATTTAAAACACTGGGTGAGAACAATAAATAACACCAGTTTGAGTCAGACTTGACCCATAATCCACCACTTGTCTGTGACCCTTGAGTTAGACCATAAAGATCATTTAATACAAATACTTTATTTTACAGATGATGCTCAGAAGTCATTTTTCCAAAATTACTCAGCCTCCATACTTATGTAGTTTTTCTTTAAAAAAATGAACAAGAACAAAAACAAAATATCCCCCTCAAACCCAGACTGCCTTAAATGATATGTGAGATCATTTAAGTGAAGAAGGTTAATAAATTACATCCCCCAAAGTACTTTTTTACTACCAGGAGCTATGCCAGGCTTTCATTTACCAAGTCTAGAGATGGTTTTCAGAGTTTTAGAGCAATCTGAACAGGGCTGAATTGCTCCTGAGCACTTTCCAATAGCAAGTCTGTCTACTTTATTGCAGGGCCCAGAGGTTCCCCCAAGATCGCCTGATAATAATTTGGTATTTGGAGGCTCCTGTGTCACTGCAGGAACTAAAGGAGGCTAAATCCATGCCTGATGGAGAAGAGTTCTATGATTATCTGCAAATTCTGGCCAGAAAACATCTTGACGTCACTCCTTAGCTTCCATACCCTAGCCAAGGAAGAAGTTACCTTCCAAAGAGAAAGCAGTGTGCTCTAATGATTAAGCCCTCAAAGTGCTATGCCACTTTAACTATAGACCCATCTCCTCGATCAATCAGGATGGCAAGATGGAGCTGAGGAGCTCAGCAACATCAAGTCTGGAGTTGGTCTTTAATTCAACTAGTCTGTATAGACGTGTCTGAAAGCCACATCATCTGAAAGCACGGGTGGTTTCCCAGTAGGATTTACAAACTTGGCTTTAGTGCAGCTGTGCTGCTATCGTTTCTTTGACTTCTAAGAAGATTTTTGCTAGGCAGGATACAAAGGGAGCTGAAAAAAATAATGAAATGGTGAAATAAAAACAAACAAACAAACAAACAAACAAACAAACAAAAACACTAGCCAGCAAAACCCCAAGTCATCAATCTTGGGTTCTCTTGAAGAATGGAACTGTGTTATAGCTTCCCCTGCAGGAAAATCAAATGCCATAGACTATTGGTATTCCTAAAATTGTGTAATTGTGTCTTTCCTAGAGCAGCCTTGTAAATTAGTTAGGGTCCTAGGCCTAGGGCCTAAATTAAATGAGAATTGTCCCTAAACATGTACTGTGTGTGTTCACACAGAGCATGCCCTCTATGTATGTAGGGCTAGTAACTCCTTGTGACAAATGCATATAAAGAATTCTGACATTTGTTCCTTTTGGTCCCATTTCCAATGAAATAGATCTTTATTGATTTCCTACAGAATGTGCCATATTTTTCAGGTATTATAGTGTGTGTGTGTGTGTGTGTGTGTGTGTGCGCTCGCGCTTATGTATGTGTGTTTTCCTATTGGTTATATGCTTACTAGGCAATTATGTATCGATAGATAAGCACAGACTCATAGACCAGCTAAGAATAAGGAAGTAAAAGGTTATAAAAGCAGGGAGTATTTTAACAGAAGCTGAAAAGATCACATGTGGCACCCTCCTCTCCCCTTAATGTCATATCCACAC